TTATACATTAAAAGCACAAGTTAAGGTACAATTTAAACAAATCCATAAAATGATTGATATTATTAAGTAGTTGCGAGTAATAAATTAAAATTAATTTACAATTTATTATTTTTAAACAAAATAACTATTAAAAAAAAAAAGAACCTAAATTTCTTATGGCCTTGTGCGTGAATAACCACACCCTGGTCACATGAGGGCGCCCTGTCATTTTCTGCATCAGTGACCTGGCAAACAAATTGGATTGGGTGGATACAGATTGAGTCACCTTGGATCTTGGGATATTCAGATTGGGTGACCTCGGATCTTGAGTTATTTAGATTGGGTCATTTCGGGTTTCGGATTAAAAGGATAGGCCCATAATTCATCCACACAAGTTTCAAATTGGATTGAATGGACTTAGTTTCCAAAAAATTAAAATTTTTATTTTTTTTTATTTTTCTCTAATAAAATCTAATACTAATTAACTATTTAATTAAAAAACTTTTATTAAACGTTAATTTTTATTTTAGAATTTAATTTTAATTATAATCTCAAGGAAAAAAAGGGAAAATTACTAATTATATAAGTGAAACTAAAATATATGTCAAATATATAATACCTATATAATATTTAAAATTTATAATTTTATAAAAACTTTAACTTTCATTAAAAGAAGAGACACAGAGGATTAGAGTTTAAAAGACAAATCCTATATATATTAATATTTGGTATCTATTCAATATTTATAAAAATATTATACGAAAAATACAATTTTATTCAATTATTAAAAGAGTATTTTACAAAAAATATAGCGCTATTTAATATTAAGGTTCAAAAAGCATATCCAAAATATGTCTAAACAAATATAAGAAGAAATTGGATTGGGATTGATTTTTATTAACTAGGAACAAATTATTAATTAAGAACAAATCAAAAACTAAAAATGAACGTTGATGTTTTTGATGTTTTTGTCTTTGTGTTTCTAATGGTGATGAAAGTATCTCAACTATTAGGTTTTTATTTTTAGTAGGCATTCTTGCTTTTTATTTAAAAAAAAAAAGATTTTTTTTACGATACCATATGATACAGTTTATTATGTGCCACTTAATTTGATTTTTGATATGAGTGCCATCAAAGAGAAGGATTAAAAAGCTTGAGATAAAGAATGAGAGAGTGAGAGGGAGAGTGGAAAAGAGAAAAAGTTGAGAAAAAATGAAACTAATGAAGAAGTTAGGATTTTGGTATTTTATTTATTTCTATTTTTAGAATTATAAAATTAGAAATTTAAAAGTAATTTTTAAGTAATTTAATAAAAAATAAATAAATAAAGTTTAGATAATTTCGAGTGATTTGATTCATCCGTGATCCAATTTATTTAGGCTCAGATAATTTTAATTCAAATTATTTCAAATTTTAGATTAATATATAAAACTTATGGCTATACTCATCATGGATGAATTGAGTTGAACTTTCGGATTAAATCCAATTTTGGCAGGACTGCGCACCCCTTTCTCTGTTGACCCAAAAAACCAAGGAAAAAATAAAAAAAAAAGGGAAACCGCGCCTAAAAAGAGTAAAGTAAAGAAGCCGTGCTGGGCCTAGTGCAGCTGTGCTGGCCTTAAATTTTTTTTTAAAAAAAATGGAGAATTGAAATGAAGAAGCCGTGCCTAACCATGGCCACGTAAATATCTGTTAAAAGGCATACAAGAAAGTTTGATTTGTCAAATTTTACTCTTTTTGTCCCTCTGCTTTAAAATAATGGTTATTTTTTATTTTTTAATTAAAAAATTAAAAATAATTTATATATTTACTTATATTATTTTTAAAAAGAATTAAAAGATAAAATTAGACTCTTTTTTTATAAGATAATTAATTAAAATAAATTGATAATAATAAGGTTAAATTCAAAAAATATTTATTTATCTTAAAAAATAAGAAAATAATAATTAATTTAGAACAAATTCAAAATAAAAAAGATAGTTATTTTAGAATAAAGGGAATATTAATTTATAATTAGTTAGTGTTTAAAAATAAAATAATGATTGATAAAAATTTTGCTTCAACACACTAATTAAAAAATTATTATTTTTAAATTCGAGGTTAATGTGAGAAAAATTTCAATTATAAAATTTAATGATTAAATGGGTAAGTGTTAGTAAGTGTGTTGAATTATAAGATGTACCAATCATTTTTTTTTGACAATATTTTTATGTTTGTGTATTCTTAACATTTATCTTTGGGAGAATTTTGATTAGTGAAACTTTTAAGTTGATAGGTAGTAATTGGTATAATTTTTGTAAATTTTTTGTCTATTTTATATTTATATGAAAAATTTTTATATCTTCTACATAATGACATTTTTAGTAATTATTATAGATTTTATGTCTTCTTTATTTGCACAGAATTTTTTTTCTTTTTTACAATCACATTTGAAATATTTAGTTCTTAAAAAAAGTTTTTTAATAATCTGCATTAAAGAAAAAAATATCAATTGTAGATGTTGAAAGACTAAATTGTTATTAGTGAATGTTGAATAGATCATTTAGTTTTTTCATATCCAACCCAGGTGTTTTTCTTCCCATGCCAATTGTAAAACTACAACTTTTGAAGTTTTACTCTATTTCTTTTCTCATTTGTATGAAAAAAATGTTTTTTTCCCTTTTTTTTTTTTTCTATTCAAAGTTAGGTGTTAATTATTATTTTACTTTATATATTTGTGTAAAAAAAATATATTGGGCTTGATCATAAAATTTATTATGTTGTAAATCAAATAAAGAAAAGTGTTTATTAGTTGAATTTTTAAAAAATTATAAGAAAAATTATCTCAAAATTACATTATTTTATTAATTAAATTCCAATTAAAAAAAAATTAAAATAACCTATTTTAAAATAGAAATGAAATTGTTTTGATCTTTTTCTTTTGATGCTTTAATAAAATGATATATATAGTTTTATGGTGTTCCTCTTCTAATTTTTTAGTGTTTTTAGCTAATCATAAACACTAATCTCAATCAAATCTCAATCAAATAAATTAGATTTAGTAGAAACAATTTTACTTTCATAGATTTTTATCATATAGTCTTAAAAGATCTTTTGACCATTGTCACGCCCCAAAACCCGAATTCGAGGCGCGACAGACGCCGTGCACTCGTGAATGGGTCCCACAAATGCACAAGGCTCGAAACTTATCCAATTCACATCTGACAATTCAATAACTCAAATCCGATTATCTCAAAATAATTCTATGTCCAAACATGACAACCTCAAAATCTCAAGATCAAATCTTTAAAATTTTCTCTGATATCATAAAATCTCCAAATACACTCTAGCTTGCAAGAGCAGGATTTATTTCTAAAATCTATGTCAATCTCGAAATGGCTAGCCTTCTTACTCGTCACTTCCCGTGGTTTCCCCGTCCTCAGTTTCACTTCCTGAAATGATGGACAAGGAAAACTATGAGATAAACTCAGTAAATAATTATGGATAGCCCTTGGGTAGAACTTTTAGCATGCCAGATAAACCATGTAAGTATAACAAAACTTTCACTGATAAACCGTTAATGCGGAAATCAAATTCGGTTCAATAGCAAAACGTTCAATGACAAAAGCGTCAATGCAAAATCAGATTCAGTTCAATAACAAAACGTTTCCTGACAAATCGTTAATGCAAAGTCCCGTTCAGTTCAATAACAGTGTTTCATGACAAACCGTTCATGCAAAATAAATCTCATCAGTAGTCTCATCTATAAGTCATGACCAGTGTTACAACAACCCATTGGCAGGTGACAGAAATTTGCCAATGTATTCGCCCAGAGGCCAGCATCAGAATGAACCGGTCATATCAGTAAACATGTCGACATGTGCTAGCGTTACACCCACTAGCGGGGATCAGGGATGCTACACACCCACTAGCGGGGATCGGAAGTGCTAGCGTTACACCCACTAGCGGGGATCAGAAGTGCTACACACCCACTAGCGGGGATCGGAAGTGCTAGCGTTACACCCACTAGCAGGGATCAGGGATGCTACACACCCACTAGCGGGGATCGAAAATCATGACCATATCAGAGACAAAACCATGCAGGATTCACAATCAAAATTTGTAATTCACAATCGAAAACCGAAATTCACAATCAAAATCCGTAATTCACAATCGAAATCCCAAATTTCAGAAATAACCAGAAAATTCCATGTGGGCATGGGTTTAACCGAAAAATCATAATTTACAAAAATTCTCAAATCATCAAAGCAGGGTCATCAATAACATATCCACATCGGAGACAAAACAGGCAAAAATTAACAGAAAAATCTTAATTCACCAATCGCTTGCAAATCATCAGGACAATCACTTAAAGTCCAAGTAGGCATGCTCAAATCAATACAAAAAGATTAATAATCTTATTTCAATCAGTCATGCTCATTTCTAGAAAGACCAGGAAATTCTCAAGAAAATCATCCAAATTTTCGTTTCAATTTAATCACACTCAGATGTTAATAAAATCAATTTAAAATCAATTTGAACCTTGCCACCATCTCAAAAACAATTAAAACAAGCTTTAAAATCGAAGGGCTTTACCATAATTTACTTACCTCACTCGCACAAAACCGAGCACTCAATCTCAATGCTAACTGATAGAACGATCAGGAACCTAATCAAAACACCTCAGAATTAATACCGGACTATCACAAATTCAAACTGAAATCATCATTAAAATCACTCCTAATCCCGATGCTATTCCTATCAATCTCCACATAACTGGACATCTCCACATTCATTCTTATATCACAAACTAATCATTTAAATCCCTGTTAATCGTTGACCCTCGGTGTGTGAACAGTGTTCTGTGAACAGTACCCGTGAACAGTGCGTGAACAGTGACTGCACCTCCAAAATTGGCCAAACACTAGCTAATTCACCGGATCTTCACTCCAAAATCACAACAACCCAATTCAAGCTAATTTCCTACTTAAACCACACTTAAAAACATAGCTTAAAGCTACCAAAATTCATTCCAATTTCCCAGACAAGCAATGGAGACCCACAGCTTTGGCCAACAATGGCTAAGTCACGGGATTACTCCTACACAACATCACAACAGCCCAATTAACAAAATTCCTACATAAACCAAGCACAAAACACATTTAAAATGGCTGCCAAATTCATCCCCTATCCCAGCAGATTCGGATAACACAGAGCATCAACTAATGGATAAAACCCAGCAATTAAATGGGTAATTTTAAGCTTGGAAAAGCCGGCAACTTACCAAAATTTAGCAAGCAAAACCGAGCCTAGCAGGGGGGAGAAGCCGACGGCAGAGAAGAAGAAATTATGCAGGGGAACTTGCGGCTACCCAATCCAAAAACCAAAACACAATTCAAGATAAACCCAAGCCTAAATCAAGAGAGAAAAGGGAGATTCAGGGCTGTTCTTACCGAAAAATGCCCAGAAATTTCAAACCCACAAGTTGAAGCCGACGGACAGCAGAGGGAGGAAGACGCAGATCTGGGATTTTTCTGGGTTCAACAGGTGTTCTAAGACAAGAAAATAGGGAGAAATCCCTAAGCTTTGCCGGATTTCCGGCCGAAAAATGGGTGGCAGTGGCTGGGGGGTTCGTCGGCTGTAGAGGGTCGGGGGAGAGGAAGAGCAGGGCACGCGGGTCTGATGGGGAGGGAAAGAAAGAAAGAAAAAGAAAAAGAAAAAGGAAAAGCAGTCAATCCTTATCCTAATTCCTTTCTTTTAAGTCCCTCAACTTTTAAAGATTTTACAATTAAGCCCCAAAACAATATTTTTTCTCAAATAAGTCCCCAACCAAATGCTAAAATACCCCAAAATTTTGGGATATTACAACCATATTAAAACATACCAAACGTAATTATTTAAGACTACATTTTTTTCCTTTCTATGTCTTTTATTTTATTCTCTACTTCTAATAATATTTTTTCTCTTCTTCTAAAACACAAATGCATTACCACAACTTGCAGTTGGGTCGAATAATACTAGTATGTTGCAAAGATTAAGGGTTTATTTGGTATAACAATTAAAATTTAATAGATGATAAGGAATGCATAACATAGAGTAGATATCATATTTTGATTGATGTTATAATTTAGCTATACATTAGTTAGTGATTGTTTTTTGATGTTAAATGACTGATAAAGATACGTTTTAAAACACTTAAGTGTATTTTTTTCTTTTTATATTTTATATTATAAAAAAATTATAAGAAGAAAAAATAAGAAGAAGAAAGATATAATTAATATGATAGAATATAAAAGTGTAAATCACACTCTCATTTCTAATTTTAACAAATAAAAAAATTATACTACTTTCAAATAAAGAAAAAACAAACTTTTAATTATTTCTTCTAATTAGCAAATTTTGATTATTAAACTAATATAATTTTTTTTAATGATAAGTGAATGTAAAGAATAAAAATATATAATCATTTCATGTATTAAAAAAGAATAAAGTTGAAATTGATTAGATAATTAGTAATTAAAGACTATGGCAAAAAAATGAAAAATTAAAATGAATAAGTTTATTAATAAAATTAAAAAATTTTAATTCGTGGTTTAATACAAAAAGCTTTCCACGGTAAATTTTTTAGTATGTTAGCGATTTGCACATAATTATTATTTATTAATCCCAAACTACTAATGATATGTTTGATTTGAAGAAAATGGAGGGGAGTAGAGGGGAAGAGTGAATTTTTTGATCAATCAAATTAAAATATTAAAAACATTTTAATTTGATTGGTTAAAAAATGCATCTCTCTTTTCTCCTCTCTTTCATTTTTCTTAAACCAAATATATTATAAATAACAAATTCTACCAAATAATTTATAACAGTTTAAAAATAAATAAATTTACTAAACACACATTTTATAGTGGTTTAGACGAACAGAAGTCGTAGAACCGCGCCCGTCGCTGTTAAGAACAACATGAACGTAAACCGCGCCTTTCTTATTATACATAGCCAACGATCTCTCCCTACAACATCATCAAATCTAGTGCTTAAGTCTTACCCCCCAAAAAAAGAAAAAGCATCAATTCCAGTTGAACGAGGGAGGAGATCATATTC